CTTTCAACTCCAGACACTTGCTTGACTTTGGGGAGGGGTGGCTACCCCTGGCCTGTGTCTGAGCAGAGACACATCCTCCTCCAACACTTAGCTTGGATCACAAGCGCAGTTAGGGAAATAGCATGTGGAAATGACCAAGGTTGTTAAGATTTTATTTTTCTCTTTTTACCAGCTAGCAATTAGTTTGTTCATTACTTAGCTTGCCTCTGTGTGCTCTTAAGTTGCTGCTCTACTGAAAACTTCTAAGAGCCAGGTAAAACAAACTCAATGCAACAAAGTCCTAAAATAGTTGCCTTAGTTTTATGGGCACAGTAACATACTAGAAAATGACTCTTGACTTCCCTATCTATACATAGTTTCCCTCCCATTGATTCTTGTGTGAATTGAATAACCATATTTTGAATCCATCTGTGTCAGGCACTATGGCATATGCAGACAAATAGGAAAGAATGTCGGCAAAGAAAAAATATAATAAACCAATATAATGAGACAAGATGAAAGTAGCATGCCTTGTGGTAAACACATTTACTATTTGTCCTCAGTGTGGGATGTAAGAAAAAGTAGTTTAAAAAAAAAAAAAAAAACAACTCCTCCCAGTAGTTAAAATTCATAGAAGACCATGTCTTATTAACATACATCAGAAGCGCCATCTAAGTATTAAATTCTGATCTTTTTGCTGGAAGCTAATGCTAGGAACAGCAAGATTGTCTTGAAATGTTCTTGATGAATGCATTATCTTTTCATTCGACAAAAATGAAAGAAAGGGAAATAACTTTAGATGAAATAAAATGGGAACTGGCACAATAGATAGTTACGGCTCCTCAGGAAGAAATACAGAGATGCTATCTGTCTTGTGAAGATATTTTAGACAACTTTCGAGAAGTGGGTTAGGTACAACCAAGTTGCTCTATTGATTATGCTGGATAGGATATATAGCACTCTCAGGGGGTTAAGACAGATCTGAACATTTAAGCTGTTTTATGGGAGAGTTACTGTCTGTATGTAATAGGCCGCTTTAAATATTAACTTTCTATATTCATATTTTAATATACAAAAACAGAGTCTATTTTACAGATAAGTGACCTGTAAATTTCCATCAGAAAAAAATAAATACTCCCTCTTGGATTTATTTCCTGGAATATAAAGTTCCAGAAAATACTCTAAAATAATTTTAGAGAAGAAAAATATGTGTTGCTTAAAAATTAATGATTTACGAAAGTTCATCTAGGTATGCAAGATAGATATAAAATGGATGGCACAAAGGCAGACCATGTGGCTCATGATACACGAATTTTTTTAAATTTAAACTTTTAATTTTTCTCAGAATAGCAGATTCACATGCAGTTGTAAGAAATAATGCAGATACCACGACCCCTTTAACCCATTTTTCTTAATTGTACCATCTTTCAAAACTAGTACAGTGGGCCGGGCACGGAGGCTCACGCCTGTAATCCCACAGCTTTGGGAGGTTGAGGTGGGTGGATCACCTGCTGAGGTCGGGAGTTCAAGACCAGCCTGACCAACATGGAGAAACCCTGTCTCTACTAAAAATACAAAAAACTAGCTAGGCATGGTGGCGCATGCCTGTCATCCCAGCTATTTGGGAGGCTGAGGCAGGAGAATTGCTTGAATCCAGGAAGCGGAGGTTGTGGTGAGCCGAGATCACTCCATTGTACTCCAGCCTGGGCAACAAGATCGAAACTCTGTCTCAAAAATATATATAAATAAACAAACCAACCAAACAAAAACACTGTAGTACAGTGATAGGTGGTTTATTTTAAAAAAAGAATTAGGTTGCCTATCAATATTATTCAATGTGGAAATTAAAAACCCCACCCTAATTTAGCCTGCACTAATATGTACTATTCAGTTGAATTTATATGATCCAGACAAAATAGATCAAATGAATACTCATTTCTCCAAATTCTAAAAAATTTATTAACTCATGGTATGTTAAGATCTATAGAATAGCCAAGCATGGTGGCTCATGCCTATAATCCTAGCATTTTGAGAGGCTGAGGCAGGCAGATCACTTGAAGCCAGGAGTTCGAGACCAGTATGGCCAACATGGCAAAACCCTGTCTCTACTAAAAATATAAAAATTAGCCGGGCCTGGCAGGGCATGGTGGCTCACGCCTATAATCCCAGCACTTTGGGAGGTTGAGACGGGAAGATCACTTGAGGTCAGGAGTTCCAGAGCAGTCTGGCCAACGTGGTGAAACCCCGTCTCTACTAAAAATACAAAAATTAGCCAGGGGTGGTGGTGCACTCCTGTAGTCCCAGCTACTCAGGTTGCTGAGGTGGAAGAATTGCTTCAACCCGGGAGGTGGAGGTTGCAGTGAGCCGAGATTGTCCCACTGCACTCCAGGCTCAAAAAAAAAAAAAAAAAAAAAAAAAAAAAAAATTAGCCGGGCATGGAGGTGGGTGTCTGCAATCCCAGTTACTCAGGTGGATGAGGCACAAAAAATACTTGAACCTGGGAGGCAGAGGTTGCAATGAGCTGAGATTACACCATTGAACTCCAGCTGGGGCAACAGAGTGAGACCGTCTCAAAAAAAAGACCTACCAAATGAAGGAAGTTTATATTAGTGTTAAAACAACACAAGTTGATTTCTGCACCCAAGTTTCTAAACCACCATAAGTTAAAACTCTTTCAAGAGATTTAAAAAAAAAAAATTGCATGTTCTTTGTTTCAAATTGCATATAGCTGGTTGTCACTTTTTAAAAACCCTTCCTACGGCAGAATCATCTTATTTATGATATATTGGCCTATCTAATATTATGTCATGAATTTTACAGCAATTAGTTGTATGAGAGTAACAAAGATTTATTTCTGCTTCTCAGAACACTGTGCTTCTGAAATTTCTGAGACCGATGGGTTTGTATTTGGATAGCTTTGCTCTAAAATCAAGTACATGCACTCAGAGATAAGCAACAGGTTGTGGATCACTCTAGGAAGCCAGGAGAGTGACAAAGATTGATAATCAGCTTCTGGAAGACCAAGGTCATGAATCAACTTGAATTGAGTGAACCCTACATACGTCTAAACCCTGCCATTGGTGATACCAAGCTGAAAGCTGTCACTGAAACGTGTTATCTTTGCTGAAGGCTGTCAAGCGTTGCAAGTCAAGTAGAAAACCGTATCAGAGAGCGCAGTGATTGTCTCTGACAGCCTTCCAGAATGTGGTGCTGAGGTGGTACTCAGTTCCAACTCTGATTGCACCCAGGGTGGCAAAGCTCTCGTCCACTACATTTAGATGTTCTGAAGAGAAATAATCTCATTGCAGTTATCCTAAGAACACCATATTTAAAACATAAAGTAGGGCAACTGATAAATTCTGAATTGTAACAATAAGCACACAGTCTGTGCTGGGGTAGTAGAGAGGTGAGGATGAAAAAGTACATACAGGCCAGGTGCAGTGGCTCATGCCTGTAATCCCAGCACTTTGAGAGGTCGAGGTGGGGAGATCACTTGAGGTCAGGAGTTGGAGACCAGTCAGGCCAACATGGCGAAACTCCGTCTCTACTAAAAACACACAAACTAGCTGCGGGTGGTGGCACATGCCTGTAATCCCAGCTACTTGGGAGGCTGAGGCAGGAGAATCACTTGAACCTAGGAGGCGGAGGTTGCAGTGAACCAAGAGCGTGCCACTGAACTCCAGCCTGGGCTACAGAGCGAGACTCCGTCTCAAAAAAAAAAAAAAAAAAAAAGAAAAAAGAAAATTTAAAAAAAAAAAAAAAAGAAAAAGAAAAAGAAAAAAAAAATACGTACAAATAACATTATTGGATCACCAGTTTTTTTTTCTGGTGATCCCTAAAGCTGCCCATTTAGCTAGTTAGGTTATTTAAAAAAAAAAAAAAAAAAAGGCAACTTTGTGACCTACAACATGAATAGGACCAAAGGGCTAGGAGTGAAGTCATTTTAGCTCAGTATGAGGGCTCTGGCCAAGGTTCCTGAAAGGGATTACTAACAGTGGTGCGCAGTGACATCCTTGGTTACAAAAGGTTCACTTTAAAAAGAGAAAGAGAGAAAAAAACTTGCTTTAATGGGCCAAAGTTATAAGTAGTTAAGTAATAAGAATGAAAAATATCTTTAGGCATCAACAGAACCCCAGGTAGCACTAAGCAGAGATGTAGTATAATATCCCAGAGCTTATTTTCAGATAATACAGCGAAGCACAGCAAGGCATTCTCTGGTACTTATAAGGACAATCTATAAACTGATATTTGCACAACAGTAATTGAGAGGGAGGCAGCTCTTCGCATTAGCAATGGTAAAAAGACGATGCTGCATATTCACAAATCCCAAAATGATAAGTGGAAGAATCGAATTGCTGGTCTGATACACGAAGGGATGAGACAGTTCATCTGTACTCGGAAGTAATAAAAAATATTAATAAACCAAATCTCAAGAAAGATAAGAATTCTGATTTTATTTGCATATTTGGCACAATGTTACCTGACAGAACTTTCTGCAATGATAGAATGTCCTCTGCCTAAGCTGTCCAATAGGGTAGTTACTAGCCGTATGTGGCTGATAAGCACTGGAAATGTACCTAGTACAACTGAGGGACTGAATTTTAATATTATTCAATTTTTAATTAAAACTTAAATGGAAACAGCCATATGTGGCTAGTGGCTACTAGACTGGGTAGCTTTCTGAAAGTCCTTCTACATACCTTATTTAATCACTCCAACCCTAGGTCTAGATTTAATCATTTAATCACTACATTTAATCATTTAATCACTACAACCCTAGGTCTAGATGTATAATATTTTATTATCTACAGTTTATATTTTTCAAAAAAATGAAGTCACAGGGTGATTAGCCACAAAGTGATGTATCCAGTCACACAGCTTGTTCTGAAACTAAGGACTGATTCAGGCTCCCCACAGCAATGTACACTATTTAAGGAGCAAGTCATGGTTAAGGCAAACACCAGAGATATCCAAAAATAGTTCCTGTTGCTCTGTGGACAAATAAAAAAGACACTGTCTACCTGTTTTCCCTGTGTTTTTCATCCAGGTTTTGTTAGAAGACTCATTGTCGAAGCCATCGAGCTGCAGTTCCTGGTATTCTTCCCCGACACGCGCATGCTGGTCTAAAATGTCAACAGGAGACTGGTGATGGCCCCCACAGCTGACACTAGATGTGACCCAGTGCTCAGGACCATAGGCACCTGTTGAAAGAAGACAACACTTCAATCCTCACGGTTCAAGGGTCAGGGATGAAATGAATACATCTTAGGAAGCTGAGCACTGCATCTCTCAACATGCCCCCAATCCAAAGAGGTGAATGTACTGAAAACTATGAATCGAAGCCATTTGCCTGATGTGGCAAGAAGACTTCAGAAAAGATGTTACCTGAGTTAGTTTTGCTTCTTGATTTACAATCAAACATTTTCTAACTTTACCTTTAACCAGGTTAAGAGAGTTGTGTAGAAGGGCTGTCAGGGTTGTTCATATTTCTGAAAAATTTTAAATATTTCCTAAAATAAGCAGAGCATTTATTCACCAAAAAAAAAGCACCTTGATCAAGTTAGCATGTTTTGCTATCGTGAGCAACATCCTAAATACAACTATCTTCTTAGCCCATGAAAGTTTGCAAACATGAAAGAGGAAAAAAAATAAAAGCAACAGAAAACTAGATGAGAGGCATTACAAATGATGGGGGCAATAACGCAGGTTTTTCCTTTGGCTAATTGTGAAAGATTTTTCAGTTTGGCCTTCATTTGTACACTTGAGTGTTAAGGCGCTCATCTCTCCTTTTCGATCCTTCTCTCTCATAGAAAATGCAGTCATAAAGTTACCTTCAGATTGGACTCTGCACTCATATAAATAAAGACTTTGGGGGGATATATGCCACAGAAATAAACAAAGAAAGCACAAAAATAAAGCATAATTCTAATTCTAATACGTACCAATCAGGCATAAATACAGAAAACACACTGCATTTGCCTCCTTGCCTTATTTGGACATGAAATTTTATGGGAGCAGTTTCTATTACATTGACTACGTGCTCTTAGACTTTTCCGCATCCTACTTTTAACCTTGTTGACACAACATAGAGGGCGTAGCCTGCTGAAACAACTTTTGCTGGAAAGATTAAGATTGAATCCTTTATTGATAATTAGCTAAGAATAAACTTTACAATTTTTAGCAGGTAAAACACAGTCTTCCCAATCAGAAAGCTTAATGTGTATATACACACTTAGTGTATATACATTCATATACAGAAATACTAGTTGATGGGTGGGAATTTTTATGCCTCCTGTATACCTAGCCTCGTACGATGGAAGACACAAAGAAATCTTATTTAGTTTATTAGTAGGTAAGTCCAACTTGTTAGTTTAGTAGTGTAGGTAAATCTCCCTACCACTAAATAAGAGCCCAGATGAGTGACCATCCTGCCACTACCCAATCATTTGCCACTGCTTTCTCCATTCCCCGAAAACTGATAACAGCTCACAGTAGATATAAACAAGAGTACAAGAAAAATGAGACAATCACAGAAAGTATTTTCTGTCATGGAAAGAGCATGCAAGAGCAATGGATACAGCTCCTTAAAAATGATGCATATTTTTGCTATCTGGAAAATACCTCAGCCTCACTCTAAAGTTTAAGTCATTCTCCCTAATCCTCATCCCAAAGAGTAAGATAAAAACGGACTATCCGAATGAACATGTTCGCTGATTGGCAAAGGTCTAGCAAACTTGGGGATACTCTTAAGTCATTTGTAAGTGTTACGCTACTATCTGGAAAAAGTTAACATCACCATTCTCTTCACTGCATGATTCCAACTAAATTGTCATAGGCTTTTCACTCATGTCTTTTTTTACCTCTTTGTCAAATTCCCTATGTCTGTGATGAGTCACAAAGGGATAGTATGCATTTGCCATATATTTAGCCAACTATTATTTTGGCCAAACTTTATTTTCATCTTGCATCTGTATATTTGAAGAAAAAAAAAAAAAAAAAAAAAAAAAGAGGGGAAGGAGACATAAGGAATGGCTCCAATCATCCTGTCTACAGCTTAAATTTTCTTCCAGATGCCAAAAGAATTCATTGAAAAACCAAATAAAGTGATGGTTGATTTATCAGATGGCTGACCAAAATAGGAATTTTACTTAGCCACAACTGAGCTTATAAATCCAAATTATGGAAACTAATGTTTTAATATCATAATATCATATGTATATGTATGCATGCCTTCTAAAAACTTACAATAAAATTACACTCAACAAGGAAAAATGATACAGGACACAATAAAATAAATCCAAATACCTATGACTCAAATAATAGATGCAAGCCATCATTTGTAAAAACAGACACCTGATAATTATCCTCCTACTACTAACAGTTTAAAAAATACTCTGCAATGTCAGGAAAGTACTTGCCATTCATATTATTTCTCATAACCTTCCAGACATGGGTAAAATATAATTTATCACTCTATAAAAATATAATCAGGGTTCATACCAGTGGGATTCATTTATTCACTGGTAACAATCTGAAGATTTAAGCCGACTACATGCTTGCTTTCACACTTCCACCCAATATACGTTCAAGTGCAATTTTAATTGAAACTGATCTTCCACTTCAGATTTCAAATTAATTATTCTTTGGAGTACTTCATGCTTCAGATACCCTTGCCTTGCAAAAACCCCTATGTCATTAGCAGAGGAAATAGAACACTTTTTCTAAGCTTGCAGGTATTGATTATCTATTCTCACATCGAAGCACCATTGCCATTCCACACTGTATAAATCTCTTTGGTGTTAAGACTCTTTACAAAAGACTGAGAATTATACCATTAATCATTTGCAGTTCCACAAGACTCATAGTATTGAATGCTTTGTTTTTCACAAATTTGAATAAATGCTTTTATGTAAAAAAAAAAAATACTAAATAAAGACTATGGTTAACTTAAAGCTATTTGGGAAGAGATGAACACTTGAGAAGAAGCCTTCCTCTCTCAGACATGGTATTACCCATCTATAATAAGAATAAGAGTCACTTGTACTTTAGTTTCCTGTTACTGACTCTTTTTTAGAAGTAACAAGACATCTGCATTTTGGCAGCAAGACCCTTCTGAATGGCTCACCAACTCCAACATGTCAATCTAGTACACAAGTCTGTGTTCTTAAAAGGGGAGAGGTAAGAGCAGGGGTAAAAACCACAGGGCAGTCTGAGTTGCCAAAAGTAACTTCCTGTTCACCTGCTGAAAGTCTTAAAGAAATGAGATTTTGATTGAGACATACTGCCAACCTCTAAGTTCCAAGGGAATGTAATAGTGTTTCTCATTCAACATGGGATGATAAATATATTCTTTTTAATGAATTCAATAAACGCACCTGAAACCCTTGGCTAAAAGTTTGATCTCAGGGTAAACGTCCCTTTGTGAGGGACACACGGTGGGGTTCTTGGTTTCCTTTGGACCCCATTATCACTATTGTATAATTTACCATTTATACCTAAATGTCTGTCTTCCCCACTAGTGGTAAACTCTGAGAACTGGTTCCTTCTATATTTTGTACAACTTCATTCCAATGCCTATCACAGGGGCTCACATATAGTAAGCCCTTAAAACGTATTTTTAGGTACAAGTAAATGAATTGAAAGAAGAGAGAACTGAAAGAAGAGATTAAAGAGTGGCAGAGTTCCACTTTCTAATGACACTACTATGTTTTCTCCACATTATTTTAGTTTTAGTTTACACATCTATCTACTGACTTCTTGCTAAGTATTCCTCACTCCCTTGGTCTCTAGAGTCAGGATGTCAACTTCAAGAGTAAATACTACTTTTGCTCTTCAATAATATATTAAATTAGTTTGAACTGTTACAAGGTAAAATAAGCTGCAAATATGCGATGTCTATGAAAGAATCCATGTGCACATTTAACAAGCCCAGCAAAGGTGACTACGGCTTTTTAAAGAAAGGATGTAGTAGAACTCTTGCTTTCGACGCCTTCTGTGAAGCATCATCATTTTTAAAACCACTCTTATTTTTTCTATGCTTTAACAGACCTCTGTAATCAAAGAAGGTCAATCAAACAGGAAACTGAGTCTTAATGATCAATCCATTACTGTATCAATTTAAATACAGAATCAACACTTGCTCAGTCCTAGACACAGTGCTGAGAAACGGGAACTAAGGAGCAGGGCTGCCCCAGTTCCCTTGGCCAGTTTAAGCTGCCTGTGGCTCACAGCCCCTCCTCTGTACAATGAGGTGCCCAGACCCCAAAGGGTGGCTGAAAGGATTACATTAGATAATCCATGTATTTAGAGCATTATCAAACACTAAAAGTTCAGTAAGTGCTGCCTGCAATAATTACTGCCTTTATTACTGGCTTGTAAACGTACAGCAGACTGTCAAGAAACTGACTAGGCAATGGATGGAACAGATATGTAGCTAAGGAAGGTGGGTGCAAGCATTTCATGGCATGCAAAGGGAGAGGAGGGGCCCCACCTCCCCAGGAGAGAACTTACGACGCTTGAGTGAAGTCACTTCCTGCAGTGCAGAGAAGTTTACTAGCCTGTGGTCATCTTATAGGCATTTTCCATTTGGGCAGAGGCCAACAGTCAAAAGTAGAGTTTGCCCCTCTTGGAAGAAGAGCTTAATCCCATCTTTGGCTAGATGTAGTAAGTTCTCAGTGGAGAGGCCTAGCAAACATCAACTCAGTCAAGCGATGAAGGTTAACATCCCCAATGAGACCACATGGCTACCTTGGACATCTGACAGGAAGTGGTAAGAAGGGCAAATCACCTCCGTGGTATCCTTTTCAAAAATTCACAACCCTGGTATAATGTTGGGGAAGACATCAGACAAACCCAAAATGGGGAACATTCTATATAACTGACAAACACTCCTCAAAAGTGTCAAGGTCATGAGAAAGACTAAAACACTGTCAGAGACCAGAAAAGATTAAGGAGACACAGACAATAAATAGAATGTGGTGTTCTAGATTGAATGGTGGAATCAAAAACAAAAATAAATGGAAAAACTCACGAGCTCTGAGTAAAGTTTGGTGTTCAATTAATAGTAAACACACCCATGTTGGGTTCCTAGTAGGTCCTTGTCAAAAGGTCACTCTTTTGTGGCTACTCTGCCAAAGAAATGAAGAAATTATGGAGGAAACTGCATAGAAGACAAGTAAAATGTAAGTTGTGCTAAATGAGT